TGTTCTTAGTTTTCTGGGGGATTGATTAAAGTGTTTATTTTTAACAAATTTTATTAAAATTTCATTTTATTTTCTCTTTTGACTTTCATTTAAACCTGTTTGTATTATTATTATTTTTAATTGTTAGTATAGAGATTATAGTATTCATCCTTGACTTATCACAGTCTGCCTCTAATTAATATTTTGCATAACAATGTAAAAGCCTTACCATGATGTAATTCAATTTCTTTCTCCTCTCTTTGAGCTAATTTTGAGCTATTTTATTTCTTCATATGTTACAAACTCCATAATACATTGTTAATATTATTTGCTTCAAAGAGCCAGTAGTCAGTCGCTAGCAGCTCCCCAACTATTCTCTGCTCCTTCCAGCCCTCCTGTACATTGAATCTACAAGTAGTCTGCCTGATTTGCTTGTGTGATATTATCATTTGCTTAAATTCCTTTACTATTTCCCTCATGACAAAATCCACATCTTAAAATATGTAATCTTAGAAAAGGCAATGCATTTATGTGATTTAAAACAAAAAATTATAAAAGGTATTTAGTGAAATCGCCCTGATCCCATCTTTTATTTGTCCAGTCTGCAGTACCCATTTGCCTTGCAATGTCTGAGTTTCTTGTATGTCCTTCCAGAAGTAGTAGATTTTTTTGTTATCGTTTTTTGCAAGTATAAACACAAAATGATATATGTTCTGAAAATACAAACTTTTCTTCTTGGCGTAGACAGTTTATAATGCTTTTGTTTCGAACCTTGTCTTTCACTACATTCTGGCAGTATTAAACTCTTGCAGTTCCAGAGACATTCCTTGCATCCTTTTTCCTCTGAGCCTTTCCCTATGCGGTTAACTCTGCCTGGAGTATACTCTTAGTTCTGTGTCAAGCTGCTTCCAAATCTTTACTTAAGTCCCATTTGACCATTTCTTTATCTAGGAAGCTTGCTCTGACATCCTCCCTGTACTCCCCCAGGAATATTCACATCACTAGCTCTCAGATGTGCATGGGCTGTGAATTCCCTCTAGGCCGCAGGTTGACAAACTTTTTCTGCACAGAGCCAGATATTTTAGGGTTTGAGAGCTAGGCAATCTTCTGTTACTCTTGCTCACTTTTGTTGTTGTACTATGAAATCAGCCACAGACAGTTTGTAAATGAATGAATATGGCAGCATTCCAATAATACTTTATTTACAAAAACTTACAATGGACGGGAATTGGCTTGTGGACTGCAGTTTGCCAAGCCCTGGAATAGGCCATGGGTTCTAGTACCCAGCACAAGGCTTGGTCGGTATGTTTGTTGAATGGATAACAGCTGTTGAAAGCTTGTTATTACTCTTGGGAGTTGGCTTTGTGTTCTTAATTGAATCTTTCTCCTTTTATTTCTAACCCAGGTACAGTTATGAGTTCTGTATTGATGATGAAGTATTTAATCTCAAAATGTTAGAAAATTTAGTTAGGCATCACCTGATAGTGATAAATCTTTCCCTCTAGGTGGCCCCTAAGCAAATCAGTGGATAAATAATTCTGATTGTTTCTTGATGGAGCAGAGGAGATACAGTCTGGCCTCTTGCTCCCTTAAGTATTAGTTGCTTTTTATTGCTAGGCCCATACTCTACCAAGAATTATTATACAGGCCTAATGTGTATAAACCAGCTAAATTAGTAGGTCACACAGGTTTATTAATTGGCTATCCTCTGATTTCTCTGACCAAATATATTTTGATGTAGAGTTTTGTGTACACGTATGTGTGTATATGTATGAAAGTTTTCTTTTATCTTTTTTTATTAACCAATAGGGCTATTGGTAGCATGTGTTGTACCCTAAAGTTTGCCAATAAAATTTATTCTGCCAATTATCTAACTCAGTAAGTCAGATGACGTGATGGTGTATCTGACAGTGTTAGTTTTTGTAGTGCCAGCTTCATAATTTTATTTTACTTTTTTTTTAATTTCAGCATATTATGGGGGTACAGATGTTTAGGTTACGTATGTTGCCTTTGCCACCCCCTCCCCCCAAGTCCGAGTTTCAAATATGTCCATCCTTCGGGTGGTGCGCATTGCACTCTTTGTGTACCCATCCCCTCCTCCCTCCTCCCCCCTCCCCCCTGCCCAACATCCAATAGATGTTATTCTTATATGTGCACTTATGTGTTGATCAGTTAATACCAATTTGATGGTGAGTACATGTGGT